AAGTGGGAGAGAATTTTAAGCAAATTTTACAATTGATTGAATATGCATAAACCAACATTTGGGAAAGTGTGTAGCCATGGTGAAAGAAAGAACCATTGGGATTGCTTTTCCTTAATAAAAAAAAAATAAATTAACATTCAAAATATAATATGGACGAGACTGTTGAAGTGCATTGCAAAGAACATATTGAAGAGGGACAAAAGTATCTTTCGTTGAAAGAATATGAGCAGTTTTAAGACCCCTCATAATAGCTTTCCAAGTGAAAGAGGAAAACTTGAAAGAGTTGTCTTTAAACCAAAAGACTTTGTGCCTTGAGACATCAGGTTGGCCTTCATAAATATAAAAGTAAGTAGCTAAATGTGAGAAACAATTTTTCCCCTTCAAAGGCAATTTATATTAGAGTCTACTATGGGGACATTTTGAATAAGAGAAATACATTCAAAATGGCTATTCCGGGTGATAGGAAAATGCTAGAAATTGTCTCTAATCATATCAAAAACTGGACAGCGAAAAAAGCAATTAATCCACTTAAAAATCTGATCACCAAAGCTCTCACAAAGTGAGGTTGTTTCTAGCCATGAGTCAAAGAAGAAATAAATCTTACATGTAGTCATAATATTGAGAGTAAGCCGACATTTAACTCTTTAGAAGCCTTTTATCATGTTTTTACAAAAAACATAATAGTTTTTTCTTTTGATAGATCTAGGGGAACCATAGTTGTGAAACCACCTACCGGATAAAATGAAGTTGGAGTTGTAAATTCTCGAAAGGATTTTGGCTTTACACTTCAAGGGGGTAGTTTCTAGGTTCGAGAGCACTAATCCTCCAAGATGTTTGGGTTTAATATTGGTGCTCCAAGAGATGGTATGTAAATGATTGGGAGAGTTGTAAGAGTAAAGAAAATTCTTAATAAGGGAAGAGTTTATTTTTTAATGCCCTTAAGAATGATATAATTTCAAATAATTGATTTGATTAGTAGAAATTTTCCAGCAAAAGATAGAATTGTTTGTTTCTAACCACTGAAAGATTGTTGAATCTTATCTGTGAACTTTTGAAAAATTAAAAAATTTAACTTCGACGAATTAATGGGAATGTCAGGTGCTTCCAAGGAAGTGGTTTAACTTATTCACATTAATGTAAATCTTATTAATGTGTGTGTGTGTGTGTGTTGCTATGTGCTCTCACCTCCACCTCACCTCTAATTTATGAGTGGAAGTATTGGCATAATTCAATAGGAATGGTAAAATTTAAAGAAAATGCACAAATTATATAATATGAACTAATAGAGTTTTTTCATATTGATCTATGTTAGAAAATTTGCTACAGTAGAGTAACAAGTTATCATCTTAGCTTTGTATGGGGATCCAACACACACTCACACGAAAAAATTTAACCAATAAAGATACCATAAGTTTTTCGCATAGAAAACCCGAAAATGAAAAAAAATCACTGGGTCTTATTCAATTGAAATGTTTCACTATGGGTTAGTAATTATAAGTATAATCCCTTATCTCATAGGTAGGGAAGAGTTACATAGTTTGTTGAGTTACAATGTTGGTGCACGAAAGAACTCGTTGACCTGAGGTAGGCGGTGGTTGCAGCGAGGTGTGACTTTGAGCTTCAGTGCACCGTCTTCAGAGTAGGCACAACATTTTAGGTGATGTGTCACTTTTTAGGTTACTTTGTAATTCTTCGACGTTACTTGTTGCTCAGTGTGATGCTTTGTTCTAAGAAGTGGGAGATAGCTGGTGGTGGTAGGCGGAGACCAGCGAGAAGTTGTCGACTGTGGTCGGCTGATGCATCAGCGAGAGGTTGATAGTGGTCGGCTGTGTGTGCTTGGTGATGGTTGATTACTGCAAGAGCTGGAAGTTTTCGTCAGATCGTTGGTGCAAGTTTCTGGGCTCAACTCCATCTTCTCAAACTCTGGCCTTCCTCTTCTTTTGGATCTCATCCTTCCTAAAATGAAAGGGTATGACTCTATTTATAAAGTACAAATTGTAAGTAATGAAGGAAATCAGACTAACATGATCAGATGGTCCAGAGAGATCCTCTCAATTGGACAACGTTTGATGAACATTAGTGTGTCTTAATAATGTTAGAATTGAGCAATATTGAGCTTGTTGGATTCAACTCGCCAAGACACTTGATTGGTCTATAATCATGTTAGATTCAGAATAAATTTGAGATTTCAATTGCATCCATAAAGCTTCCAAAAGTAGTTTAATTGTTTGATTTGGGCTTAAATTGACTTGGATTGGACCGATTTTGGACCGTTGGCCCTGTCCAATCAAGCTGGTGAATTTGACTGTAAGTTGTCTAAAATCAAAGTTCTGGATGATTTATATTCAAAATTTGAATGTTTTTTATTAAAAAATTATCTCGAGATCTGTGTAATGTCTCGAGATTCCTGTCAGATGATAAAAAATTATTGATAGTGTATCATATAAAATATAGATACATTAGTTGTGACTCTTTAGAATCTTAAATATGTATTTAGAATTTGTCACATTAAATGAAATCATTAACTTAGCAAAAACTTTCCATCTGAATCATTGGTTGCATTACTGACAAAATTCCACTACAAAATTTAGATAAAAAATTTTTACTAAAAAACATATATTAATTTGACCAACTTGAGCCCTAATTTTCCCATTTTGCATTTTTGTCTTCCTAATTTTCTTATTTCTCGTTAGTTCTGAAGGTAAATCACCTCCTTATGAAGAAAAAAGTTGAATTCATTTAGCATTTCAATTTAAAGAAAAAAATAAAATTCATTTAATTATTAATTACAAAAATAGTAACTCATTCATCAAAGTGTATCAATTCATTTACTACTTTAAAATACTCTCACATAATTCATTTCCATACATCCTAAGAAAAATATGAAAATAATTTTGTCAAGCATTATTTTTTTATTTTTATTTTTGCAAATAAATTTAAAAATACAAATAATTTACAAAATAATATAAAAAAAGGTGCAAAAAAAGATTTTTTTTTCTTAAAACAAGTCTGGTTCACCATGTGTATTCACCTCCACAACATACAAGCAGTCTTAATGGTTATTGGTCATTCCTTTATGTTTTCTCCTATTCCAATCCAATGATCATAGTTCGTAGCACAATCAAGTTAGGTGTCAAGAACACAACACGCATACCTACATGACTAGTAAGTGTAAAAATAATATCATAATGATTAGTGGATTCATGATCCTCAATATTATATCTCCAATTCGTCATAGACCTAGAATGTAAATGATCATGTATTTATCTCCGAGGTGCTTGTATTAGAGCTAATATGTCAATCTATATTGTATTTTAATCAAAGTTCCAATTATCATTGCTACTCTTTGATAGAATTAGCATTCACTTTACCTTGTAATAGAGATGATATTATTATTATTATTATTATTATTATTATTATTGGAATTTGATTGCTGAAGTATCTTTATTTATCTTATCTTACTTTAATGAAATAACACGTTATATAACATTCACATATAAAAGATTAAATTTCTATAATTTGATTGTTATATTACTTTTTTTATCTAATTGGTTTAATATCAATTATAAATTATATAAAAATTAAATGTAAAGAAAATGATAAAAAAAATTTAAAAATAAAAATTTCAAATAGTTTTATTTGTTACGTTAACAACAACAACAACAAGTCTTTATCCCACTAAGTGAGGTCGGCTACGTGAATCTTTTTTCTCCATTGTGTCCTATTGAGTGACAAATTTTCATTTAATTCTAATAAATTAAGGCCATTATTGATGCAACATGCCCAAATCCTTTTAGGTCTACTTCAACCTTTTTAACATAAGTTAAATATAAAACATCTATTCTGCTAATCAGATTATCAGATGATAAACATTTAATGTGATAAAACTATCTAGGACAATTCTATCTAATATCATATGCTGTTGGAGCAACGCCAATCATTTCTCAGATAAATTCGTTTTATATTTTATTTCTAAACGACAAACCACTCATCCACCCGAGCATTCTAATCTCAACAACACTTCCTTTATGTTTCTCTTTAGAGACTAATATTCTACTCATAATTTGATTTAATATGAAATTTAAAAAAAATAAATTATGAAATACTTCAATTTAATATAAAAATAAATTTACTCTAATATCTTCTCATATATTTGAATAAAAACCTAAAAATATACCATTATTAAAAAAAAATTAAAAACCAAAAGTAATGAAAATTCGCACTTGGGTGCCAGGCTTGATGTATGTTCCCATGTATGTGGACGGCCAATTAGCCTTTTTGGGCGGCACCTTTGTCCACGATGCGGCTTGGAGGGTGGCACAGAAAATTATCGCATCCATTTCTTAAATTAATTATTATGCCATTTACATAAATAGCATCCTAGATATTATTATTTATAAATTTGTGCACTCAATGATAATCAAATTATTAAAAATTTGACAAAAATGTAAAATATCAGCTGAAATTTTATCACGAATTCTGATATTTAAGTGAGATTTTGAAAAATTTTTATTTTAGTGGACAAAAGAGATGGTTAAATTTGTAAATAGGAATGTTTGGAGTTGTAAATAATAAATTTTCAAGCTTTGGCATTAAATATTACATCAGGTAGAGTTACGTGTGGAGTCCAATGAAATCACATAATACAATAACATTAGGAATATTCTCAGTATTATTCAGGTGTTATTGTATGTTATTTATGTATTATCGTGTTTTTGAAATATTCATAGTATTATAATAACACAATAAGACATCAATAACATTTAAATAATATACAATAGCATCTGAATAACATGAGAGAAATATTCTACTGCGTTATCAGAGGGACTTTTTTCTCTATTCATGATATAATTTTTTTTAATGGATAAGGGATGGCGTGGTAGGCTTACTGGTTTCCAGGCTGTCAAGCTCTAATGGCAATATAGTCATTGCACACTCTTTAATTGCATTATCCACCTTTTCCCGTTAAAGCACGCGGTTTAAGGCCCCGAGGCGCTCTCCCCCCAAACTATCGTTGGAAACCCCCAAAAAAATCTCAAATTTATCGTCTCCGTCTGCGAGTTTTTTCTTCCCCGCTGCTGCACGAGGCGTGGAAGAAACAGAGGATCCATTGTTCTGTCCATTGGAAAAGAAGCTTCAGTCGCGCCAGTGGTCGTACTCGCTTTCTTGGCTTTCATTCGAATGGGGAAATTATGGGTTAATTTGATAGTTACAGATTAGGGTTTTAGCTTGACCTGATTTCCGCTTGGATCGTCGTTTAGGACAAGGGTTAGGGTTTTTCGGTTTGTTCGGAGGATGGGGGCTGGAGCCTCGAGCATTCTCTGGGCTGACGGTGATGTAGGAGGTCAGGAGACGGGGCTAGGAGACCTGCCGGAAGGCTGCATCGCCGAGGTTATGCTGCATCTCGACCCGCCGGGGATCTGCAAGCTGGCGAAGCTTAGTCGGACTTTTCGGGGAGCGGCGTCGGGTGATTTTGTTTGGGAGACGAAGCTTCCGAGTAACTACAATTATCTGTTGGAGAGGGCGTCGGATGACAAGGAGCTCGAAGTTCCTCTCACTAAAAAGGAGATCTTCGCTCGGCTGTGCCGACAGAACCCCTTTGATGGGGGAACAAAGGTATGGACGACTTTGAGTTGGTGTGTGGGGTTTTTTCTATGGGGCTTTATTCCGTTTTCGGTATCCCATTGTTGCGGATTTTGACGGGCAGCGTTTGATTGATTGCAATTGCAAGTTCTTATGCATAAATTGATCTACCCCTCTGTTCATGTTACAGTAGATATGTTGGGAGGGTTTTTTTTTTTTTCCAATTTGGTTTCTGAGATTTAATAATGATCATTTTTATTTTAAAAAATTGATCCTTGTTTTTATGGATTGCGCAGTGAAGGGGTTGTAGGTGTTTGATTTTACAAAAACTGGCTGATGCGTTTTTGACGGGCATTGATTTTTGTCTTATGGGCGCAGGAATTCTGGCTAGAGAAGTACAGAGGTAGATTTTGCATGTCCATTTCTTCGAAGGCGTGTTTGATTACTGGAATAGATGATCGGAGATACTGGAATTTTATCCCCACGGAGGAATCAAGGTATTTCCCTTCTGATGCTATCTCTGCATATAAGTACATAAAAATTTGATCTTTTCTGCTTGGGACATTTGAGGCGACCGGTACATTTGTTTGCTAACTATCCTTACTTGCTAAGTTGGTTTGTTGAATTTTGAGTGTCTTGCTGATGCTTTACTGGATTTGAGCACATTTGTTTTGTTGTTCCTTTTGCTCTGTTCTTTTTCTTTCTGAAAATCCTTAAACTATTCTTCCGTTTGTCAAAAAAAAAATAAAAAAAATAAATAAATAAAAAGTTTGTGACGCCATATGGGTTTTTTACTATGAATTGTTGCGTCCTTTGCTGAAAAAAGCTCTTTGATGGTTGGATTATCAGTTTCTTCAATCTCCCCAGTTAGAAAGGTTTAAGGATTGTTTAGCAGTGCCTTATAGTCTAATTACTGTTCAGAAACTCTTCTATATTTGTGTGAATACTCTATCTTTTCTTAATAATAATTATACAAAATGAGCTATTCAATTGATTATAATAATTTAGCACACAAGGATTCATGTGTTGGCATCCATGAGATAGATGAAGCGGCTATTGGTAATTTATGGAGGGTAATTAATATTAATTATGTTGATATTTGGTAATTAATATTCATTACATTTATGCTTTGGAGGCACTCCAGGAAGCAGATTCCGTTAGCATTTATTTATTTATTTATTGAATTATTCACAAAGGTTTGTGATTAGCGGAAGTATTCTGAATGATTTTGGTAAAAAGGAATTATGTTAATTGTAATGGAACCAGAAAAATTCTCTTGTTGCATTCTTCCATGCAGCTTATAATGGATTAATAGATCCTACTTTTGAGTTTATGCTCTGTCTCGATGGTTATATTGCTTTTGTCTCTCATAAAGAAAGTATTATATTTATGAAAGAACCAATTCATTCAAACTAACATGTGATTGCGAAGTTTTCTAGCTTTTGATTAGTTGTTTATGATTGGACGGTCTGTTTCTTTAATAATCCTTTTTGGATTGGCTGATGTCCTCATATGCTCTGTCTGAGTGCATGGATTAAGGAAGATTTACGTACATACCACTCAACTCTTATGTATTTACATATCTAACGGCTAAACTTCAATTTTTACAAACATTTACAAACATGCCACATTATCTTTATGAAAATGTGTATGTAACATTTTAAAAGTTTTTTTAGTGGTATTTGTGATGTTGTATGAATGATTTGGTTGGTAAAATTTAAATAAAATCTAGGTGTTAGATATGTAAATACATAGGAATTGGGTGGTATGTATGTAAAGCCCTCATTAGTTAATTAAATGCATCACCATCACCCACTTCATGTTGGCAATAATTAACTCAATTCTGTAGGACACCTATGGTATTAAAATAACATATTGAGTGTTTGATACTGAATTCCGACGAGTAGAAAGTACCTATAGTTATGCGTAGTTGGTTCAGATCATTTTGTATCATTTGTAAATTGTAGTTATTAGGATTTGTCAATATATCGACCTTTTACTTGTTAATATTTATAATGTCGTTTTTTAATCTAGAATGCTTCTGTTATTGTTTTTAATAGCGCATTTTTATTCACAACTTCTATTTTAGGACCACTTTAATGAATATTCTTACTGAGTGCAAGTATGGAAATGATTCAATGCGTGTATGCATGAAATCAATAACAGTGAAGGGGCTGTTTGATATGTTGCAATAGGATTATTACAATGTAAAGGGAATACATTATAATTGAATGTTTGGAATTATTTATAGTTGTTTACATTCATAACACTTTAGGGTTGAAAGCCTGTATAGAAGAGATGTATTCCTCTTTTAAGAAGTATATAATAGTGAATGTTAAAGTCTTAAGTGCTATAAATGTAAATATGAAAGTTTAGGTGATAGATATCTACATACATAAAATTTGTTTGGTATGTTCATAAATGCCTCTACTTTGTGGTATGTTTATAACAACCATTGTGCTGATCTGTTGTCATGTTATATCTCCCATCATATATTATTTTAGTTATTTTAAAGCACAAATGCAAGTGAAATATAAGTTTGATAAAATGATGTAAATCTCATTTTTTCTGTTATTTTCTTGTTCAGATTCCTCTCAGTTGCCTATCTTCGGCAGATTTGGTGGCTTGAGGTGGTCGGGGAAATTGAGTTCTGTTTCCCTCCAGGAACATACAGCCTCTACTTTCGCCTTCATTTAGGTCGTCCCTCTCGCCGGTTAGGCCGTCGAATATGTAACACGGGCCACATCCATGGCTGGGACATCAAACCCGTTCGTTTCCAGCTGTGGACATCGGACGGCCAACATGCTTTGTGTCAGTCAACTATTGACGATCCTGGCTGTTGGATACGTTACCATGTTGGCGATTTCGATGTTGTGAGCGCCGATTTACCCATCAAAGTTAAGTTTTCTATGGAACAAATAGACTGCACCCACACCAAAGGTGGCCTTTGTGTGGATTCCGTATTAATATACCCCAAAGAGCTCAAACAGGAGAAGTTTTCTACTCTCTGTCTCTGAGATTTTATATGGATTAGAAAATATTGCTTTTTTGTTCATGTTTATTTGCCTCTTCAGTTTTCTTGCCAGAAATCTGTACATAATAAAAATCCTGCTGTCAATTTTGGGTGAGGGTAGTATTAGAATGTGCAGGTGCTCATATTGTAAATGGAGTGATTGTGTTCTGTAGTTCAGTAGAATGGCTGTTATGATTGTGTTAAATGTGCTTCAGTATGTTTCAATATCATGGTTTTGCTGTTGATTAATAAAATTCAAATTTTTTATGTCGGAGTCAATAAAGTTTTTGTATTTGATGTGAATTTTGTGATCTGTAAGACATCAGTTGGTAAAAAAATGACATCTCTGCAAAGTCTTGAAACAGAACTGCTTTGCAGTGTTTGTGTTTGTGTTGCAATGTTTGTTTTAGGCATTTACATACATACCATGTCCCAATTTTCATGCATTTACGTAAAATTTTACTTCATGTATTTATACTGCCAAAATCATACATATCACATAAAAAATATCACTTTAATTTTAGAAGGTGGAGTGCATCTTTCCATGCACAGATATCATGTCATATTCATGTAAAAAGTGAAGTTTAGGTCCTAGATATGTAAATATATAGGAAATTGAGTGGTATGCATGTAAATCTTCCTAATTTATCGATATAAGAATAAGTAAAGAAAAATAATAATTTATAGTTCTAATTAACGAAGATAAGACTGATGATGATGATTGAGGGTTGTAGAGCACCTTTTAAAAAGCACCTTTTGTGACAAATCAACTACTAATTATATAAAGGAGGAATGAAAAGTGGTCACATTCCATTGCGGGTGATGCAAGATTGCTACCTTCAATTTTGTTTGTTTCTTGATTCGAGGCAACCATTTATCTTTTCTCCCGCTTGACATTTGGGCTGTTAAATCAGAGGTTTGCCCCAAATTGAACTCAACTTGAAATTATTTTATCCTGCACTCGATACGAATATTAAATAAGTTAGAAAGCCTAACTTAGCCCGAGTTGGCTTCATATTGCTAACTCGAATCCAAATATTGTAACTTATTTATTATAATGTTTGAGTTAATCTCGTGTCTATTTTGATTTGATAGGTTTCATTTCGGATTAACAATTGAGTTCTAGGTTTAAGGGCTATGGTTAGCGGTTTAATCTTAAACTAGACAAGATTCATAACTCCACTCTGTCCAAAAAATTATTCAAGGCAGCACCAACTTATGATCTGTTTGAGGCAGCTTGTATATTCAGGATAAGCAGCTTATCATGAAACGCGACTCGTGGGTCGACCCGCGACCTACGTTTAGTGTTAAAAACACAAATACGACAGACAGCATTTTGAAAAACGTGCAAACCAAACGGTTAGGTGACATTTTCAAGAATGTCGCCGCACTTATAAGCTGCCCCCAAATGGGCCCTTAGATTTTTTTAGTCTAAATCGCATATTTGGTCAATTTTTGGCACCCCTAACTTATCTATCATTAGTGGATTCATATTTTTAAAGGTTTTTTCAATAATCATTATTAGTAAATTGATATATAGATAACCAGATAAAGAGAGAGGAATTTAAGTGACTCAAATATGCTAACATTTTTTATTTGGGAGATTTCCATACATGACATACCACTCAATTATCATGTATTTACATTTCTAATATCTAAACCTCAATTTTTAGATGGATGTCACCTTCAGTATTTCATTTTTTTGAAATTATTATATTGTTATTTTTTATGTGATGTATCATTTTGATGATATAAATTTTAAAAAATAAAATTTAAGCATTAGATATGGAAATATATAGGAATTGGGTGATATGTATATAAATTCCTCTCTTTTTTTTTCACTATATTTGAGAATCACTTGCATCAAAAGCTTTCCAATTCTCACAACGCACTTGTTGATACCAGAGTTTAACCCAAATCATGATTGACGATAAATTTTATTACTAAATTTAGCAAGTTACAACGATGAATTCTCAATATAAAATAACACAAGCATGCAAGCAGTAAATGCAACGACGATGCTTCAAGGTAAGAAGGAAAACAACACAAAATATATAAATGTCCCTCTAGAGGTAGCGGCAAGCCCAAAAGGGGATGAAGGATGCTGCGTCAATGCTAAAACTTGGATAATAGCTGGATGGCGGAGTGATAGCGACCTACTTGGAGGAGGCTGGCAACAAGTGGTTGTAGGGCAGAAGTGAGGAGCGGTGGCAGTGGACTAGACAACAGTAGGAACAAGTGTCTAAGGGTTGGATAACAGTCGATAGAGGTGATGGTGGGCTGGACAACAACATGAAGAGTAGGCAGTGGGTTGGACAACAACAGGGACATGTGTATGGGGCTAGACAACAACATGAACAAATTCTGGAAGGGCTGGCGGCAGTAAAAACTGACTTGAAAGGGGTTGGCGACAACAAAGACAAGCTAAGGAGGGGCTGGCGGCAACATGGAGGAATGGAATGAGTGAAGATAATTACCACTTCAGACAAGTTACAGTGAAAGCACCTTCTCATCGTCGCATATAACCCTTGGAATGGAGAAACACCTTTGCGCTTTAAATGCTTGATAGCATATTACTTAGACCCATATTGAATCTTGTCGAGAGATGCTTAGTTTTATTTCAAGTTTGAAGAATTTGGAACTTAAATGATCATGAATTTTTATGTTAAATATTTCTTATTTAAAATATTTAGAGATTTGTGTAGGATGATGAAAATCTATTGATGAGACATCAACTTCTATACATTTTCTTGCAGCTTTTGTATGGAAAGGTGCTCAACCAATTCTTCCATAAGATGATGATCCATGAAAGATGGGTTGGCACGTTACCCGAAGATCCCATAAAGGGCTAGTTAGATAGATTATTTTAAGATTTAAATTTAAATTTGGATTTTTTCCTGAAAAGGAATATTTTATAAAATAGATGGATATTATATTTTTATAAATGATGAGCATTGAAGTATATCTACTAATAAAGTTAATTTAAATTAATGCCTATTAGTGAACTTGATTAAAACAAATTAATTCATTCCATTATCTCTAAACGCTACTCTTTTGGTTAACTTTTAAATAAAATTAATTAGTAATTCATGCATTTATTCAAATACATAAGAGATAAGATACAAAAGATTAAATTAATAAATTTAAGCCCACATTCGTCCCACAACGATATCTATATTTCTAAACATTTTGCTAAATTATATTTATGACCACAAAATACAAAAATAGTGAATGATGGCCAAAAAAATAGAAAAAGTTAATTATTGAAATAGTAAATGTTTGTGAGTTCTTCGGGATCATAATAATTATTTATTTATATATTAATTTGAAATAAAATATGTTTAATTGTGATAATTAATTTTTAAAATTAAAAAAAAATAAAATATAGAAAAATGATATTAATTAGATATATCTTAAAAAAAAAAGATCTTAAATTTTATGATTTATCCCTCAATTTAAAGGGAAAAAAGAATCTTGATTATGCTGGCGACAACAAATAATAATATCACATGAAACTCACGATAAAAATGCAGAGAAGTAATTTTATATTTTAAATATAAAAAAAATATAGATTCTATTAATTATGTTTTTATATATCTAATATTTAAATTTTTTTCACTCAAAATTTTTGTATCATATAAAAAGAGTATAATTATTTTAAGCTTAAAGAGTGAAATGCAATTTGTTATGAATAAATAAGATAACTTATATATGCGTGCCAACTGTCTTGATTTGCTGGTTGACATCTGCGAGTCAGTTTTAAGTCCCCTGAGGTCGAGGGTTTGAATCCCCTTTGGCGACAATAATTTTATGGAGGATGATACTCAAATTATTAGACACATTAGGGATAATTGGAGGCTCGTATAATACTCTCGTCATCCCTTTAAAAATAAAAAAATAAATATAATAAACACACGCGCATATATATATATATATATGTTATTGTTTTTAATAGC